TTTTTTTTTTTTTTTTTTTTACAAAATAAGACAAATTTGTAAGACATCAGTCCTTTCCTCTTGGAAGAGAATATTCTTTGGATAAAACATTATTATTTGATGGTACTTATAAGAATATGGAAGAAGAAGTTTCTAATCTGTGGAACTGACCTGCCATGTCACAGGGTCAGTAGATGATCTCATGACTGCTGCTAAACCCAGATGATGATTTGTTTAACCCTGGGGTTTGGGTATATTAATTGCTTCTTAACACGAATATTTCATTCATTACTTTTGAACCAACGTAGACTTTCATTGCATTCATTTCTTGGTTTTCATGTTATACTGCTTGTGACTAGGCCCATGTTCTCTGATGGGAGATGCATAACGGGGCCTCGGTTTAGTTTCTGATGTAACTACACTTATGGTATGAATTGTGCTATGCTGATTAGTGTTGCTGTATTTTCAAATATTAAAAAATGGCACTAACATGGTTTTTCTCAGATGACTGCTACGCTGAGAAACTTGGTTGATTCACCACTGGCAAGAAGTAAGCTGCTAAGCATCAGTGCCCTTCCCCAGCTGTGCACGGTGATGGGGCAGTACACAGGTGACAAGGATGTCTGCACCAATATTGCCAGAATATTCAGGTAGGTAGACTAGGAAAACAAAGCAGCCTTCCAGAAATGTTAATGCTTAGATTTTGGGGTTATCTTTAATATTTGTTTGTGTGACTGGCAAGGATCCTGTTTTTGCTTTTTACCTCACCTAGAACAAAAGGTAAATCTAGTGGCCCAAGTTAAAAATAAGTGATTTAAACCAATGACTCCATTTCTTATGTATTTCTAATGTGAATCTAAACTCATTGATTGTAAGTTACTTTTACTAAAATTGTGAGTTGTGAGTTATCCTAGTATTTTTACAAAACAAGCAAATAAAACTTCCTCTCAGCTTGTTGGAGATAAAGAGATACACCACAAAACATGGCAAACTTACTGGTGCACTTGTAAACGATGCTTGAGGGTTTTAACTCAAAAAAAAGGCCATTGCCTAGAAAGTCTGACCTGACTTAATTTGTAATCAAAGGTTATTTTATTTCAGTTGTTTGACAGAACTTTGGCTCACGCATTCCCTAGTCATGTTTCTACTTTACTCCAGAAGCAATGATCTCTGAAAACAGGTTGCCTCAAAGTTAGATGTAGCTATATTTCAGAACTGTCTTTTAATTATGCTTTTATATTTGTTTCCTCACTGCTCTTTGCCAGTGTTTTCACATAATGATCCCTCAAGAGACCTGGACCTTTCTTGAACGATAATATTGTAGTTGTTTAACAAAGTACAAAATTTCCTAAAGACTGAACTTGTAATTGACCCCAGCATGAGGATAGGAGTCCAGCTTTGATCTTTTAGCAATGCACTTTCCTGTCTGGGTACTTAATTACTCCCCTTTTGAAGCCCTGTAAAATCGTGAAGAGTTTCTTCCTGTGTACAGCGGCATGTAGAGATCCAATTTAATTTTTTCCCATGGGGATAGACAATTTTCCCAGCACATTTTATTGACTATGCCATCCTTTTTTTCACTAATTTTGAATGCCTAGTCAGTCAAACACAAGGTTCCATCTGCACGCAGGTCTGTTTCTAGGCATTCTGTTCAGTCCATCCTCAGACCAGTACCACATTGTTTTTACTATTATGGATTTTAATCTTGCTATAAGGTTAATCCATCATTTCTTTTCTCCTTTAAGATACAAATTCTTATTTTCTCTTCTTCATGAATTGGAGAATCAGGTAAAATCCATATAGGAACTTTGAATTTTTTTCATGGAACCACACTGAGTATGTAGAGCAGTTGGGATGGAGGTGGAGAGAACTGACATCTTTATGATGTCGAGACTTCCATCAGTAAACATTTTTTTGGGGGGGGTAGGTAATTAGGTTTACTTATTTATTTTTAGAGGAGGTACTAGGGATTGAACACAGGACCTTGTGTATGCTAAGCATGCACTCTACCACTTGAGCTATACCCTCCCCCATCACAACATAAATAAATATTTGTGATGTCTTCTTATAAGAAAATTTTATAATTTTCTCCAAAAAGTTTTTGTACATCTTTTGTTGGATGTATTCCTTCATGGCTTTTGCTGCAATTATGAATGTAATCTTTAAAAAAATTCTAATGAATATTGCTTATGTATATGAGTAGTATGGATGTAGTTTGCTTGTTAGCTTATATCCAGGAAATCTTGATTAACATTAGGTCTAAAAGTTAGTCTGTAGAGTCTCTTGGATGTTATATGCAAATTATATGCAAAAGAGGACACTACTGTTTTTTTCCCACTATTACAACTCTTTGCCCCTGTCCCCTCCTTTTCCTTAGGTGCATTGCTTAGGATATCCAATACAAAGTTGTGAGAGTATTCAGCTGGCTGACTTCCTTCTGACTTTAAAGGAAGTATTTTGGGGGGTTTACCAGTTGAAATTAATATTTGTTATAGGTTTTTGTAGATGCCCTTTAACAGTTAAGGAACAATTTTCTCTCATTAATGGATTTTAAATTGCTTTGAATGCTTGCCCTAAGTCTATTTTGATTATGTGGATTTTCTTTGTTTAATTTATTATATTAATGTACTAGATTACGTTAATAGATTTTCTCATGTTAAACCATTATATATTGCTAGGTTTATTTAAATAATATTGTGTTTAGGATTTTTCACATGGTACGCGTTAGATTGACCTTGAAAGTATGTTTCCTTTCTCATATTGTCCTTGTCTGGCTTTAGTGTCAAGTTTATACTAGCCTCATAAAATGAGCTGGGATATATTCAAGCATGGTTCTCTTTTCTAGAAGAACTTCTGAAAATTAAACTTACCTGTTTCTTGAAAAGTTTGTAGAACATGTTTCAAAAACTGTTTTATCCTGGTGTATGTGTATGTGTATGTGTATCTGCGTGTATGCATGCATGTGTGAATACTGTTGACTACTGAGTCACTTTCTTTAATGGCTTTATGTCTAGTCATATTTCCTGTTTCTATTTGAGTCAGTTTCCAGAAGTTATATTTTTATAGGAATTTTTCCATTTATTTAAGTTTTCAAACTAAAATCATTCCAGATATTCTCTTATTATCCTTTTAACCTCTGTTGCATCTTAATTGTGCCCCTTATGGTTATATTATTTATTTAACAAGCACTCATACAGTACCTACTATGTGCCAGGCAATGTTCTAAGCACTTTGCAAAAACTAATTCATTTACTCCTGATAACAACTTTAAAAGGTAGGTACTTTTATTATTATCTTCATTGTGCATATAAGAAGACTGAGGCATAGAGAAATTTGATAGTTTTCCCAGGGCCATTCAAACCAGGTAGAATTCATACATTTAACCACTATGTTATACTGCCTCTTCATTTTGATATTGATTTTCATTCCTTATTTTGATTGTTTATTATGTTTCTCTTTTTTTTCTTGATGATTCTTGCCAAAGGTTTGCCAATTTTATTAGTTTTTGCAAAGAACCAACAGATTTATTGATCCACTCTACTGTATGTTTATTTTCTGTTTTATTCCTTCTGTTCTTATCCTTAGTAATCCCCTTCTTCTACTCTTTCTTGATATATTTTTCTTCTGCTTTGGTTAGATATTCAGTTCCTTTCTCTTCAGCCTTCTTAAGGTTATAAATTTTCCTCTAACTACTGCTGCAGCTACATCTCACAAATTTTGATTTGTGGCATTTTTGTTATTATTCAGATATAAGTGTATTTTTATTTTTGTGTTTGACCCGTAAGTTTTATGTCCTGAAATCTCTAGAAGTTTGTTTTTCAAACAATGTATTTTTAATTGATTTCTTTTTTAACATGTTTATTCATTTTTATTTATTTATTTGCTTTCTAATTGAAGTATATATACTTCAATATATATAGAAGTATATATATTTCACTTATATATAATTTATATATAATTGATTTACAATGTGTTAATTTCTGCTGTATAGCATAGTGATTCATTTATATTATATATATGTTTCTTTTCATATTCTTTTTCATTATAGGCCATTACTGAATGAAGACACTGAATATAGTTCCCTGTGCTATATAGTAGGACCTTGTTGTTTATCTATTTTATATATAGTAGTTAGTATCTACTTTGACCAGAAAATGTGATCTGAGACACCAATTCTTTGAAAATTTCCTTAGACTTATTAATGGCCTGGTACATGATCAAGTTTTTAAAACATTAATGTTGTTTTACCTATTAATCTGTCACTTAATGAGAGATTTATGATCATCTATCAGTTTGATGTAGGTTTGTCAATACTGCCTTGTGGGTTTTGTTTGCTTGCTTAGTTTTGAAAATTTGAAGCTATTCTCAAGGCTTTTTGCCTTACGGTCTATTTTGCCCAATAATAATATACCACTACCACTAGTATATTCAAGCAGTTTAACATTTGCTTCTGATGGAGCTCCAGGAGATTGACTGGTTGGTGTCCAACCAGATTTTATGTAAATTTCTTAGCTCGTGTTTTCTGAACTACATGGGCAGTGTAAATTCACACCTTGTACATGTGTTAGAGGTTTCAGGTTTCTCTTGTTCAAAGGTCTCTAAAAAAATTTTTCCCCATGCTCCCATCCCCTGCCCTGCCAAGTCTAGAGCAGACCACAAGCCTCCATGAGGCTTCTCTGGACTGGTGTGTGGAGTACTTCTGGTCTCCTTTTCATGCATAGGGCAATGCTTTGAAGGTCTTCATTTAAAGTAACACTACGTATATTTGAGCTTTATAGAAAAACAAAGTTTATTTTTTGTTTTCCCATTTGATATTTCTGCAGCAAACTTACTTCTTATCATGACTGCTGTGTAGCCTTGGCCAACTATTCCAGATGTTACGCCTTGTTTTTGAATCTGATAAACAAATACCAGAAGAAGCAGGTCAGTTCTTCACACGTTTAATTCTTCAACGTGTCTTTCTTTGCACTGGTGTATGTGTGTAAGCCCAAGTTGAATGACTATGTTTTGAATGTTCAGGATTCTATTAGAAGCTTCCATTCAGTGTGTAACAGACTGTTTCCAGGAGGCAGAGAGTTCCGCACAGGAGTTGGGGAAGGAGTAGTTTGAGGCAGGAATGGGCTCAACAGGATGTCGATGCATTAGGAGGATTCATGATTTGGGGTAGAGGGTGGGTGGACTACTACAGTGTCGTTCCTTCCAGTGATCTGTAGACCCCTACATGAGAGTCACCTTTCGGTGGGGTGGGGTTACACTGATTATTTCTAAGGCCCAGCCCCAGCCTACTGAGCCAGATGGGTGCAGAGGGGCCTAGCCAAGAACTACAGGGACTTCTGATGCAAACTATAATTTGGGATCCGCTACACTGGGTATTCTCTGAAGATTCTTCCAGCCCTGAAATTCTCTTAACTTTTTGATACTGTTGCATTTAGAAGATGACATTTCTAGGTAAGTATTTAAAGGAAATAATTTGGTTTTAATGGATTGGACAAAACTGTGTAAAGCTGTTTAAAAAAGGAAAGAACTCACAAATGATTTCCCCTTAATAAAATTATAATACTTGATACACATGCTAATTTGTATTATAAGTTTTTGATTATTCACTAAATGCAGTCTAGTTTATTCACCTTTATAAATGATTCAAGTGACATCAACTCTTTAGTGGAGACAGTTATACATGAGGACAATATATATTCATTTCAATTGTGGTAAATTTTCAAAATCACACAGTAGGTTTCACCAGTTTAAAACCAAATAATTTATGTATATACTAAGACTATTTTAACATAAAGTTTTGTGTTTGTTTATATTTGCCATATCAAAACCACCTCAAAATGTGGTTTGCCACAAATAGCACTAAACTTATTTTTACCCAGCCAAATACTTCTGCTGAGAATGACCAAATTTGTCAGATTTTACACTATTATCAGTTATTTACTAAAAAGGTTACTAGTCTCTTTTGGTTATATAGATGATAAAGAAATTTCTGTGCTCATGTTATACCATTACTATACTTTAAAAATGATGAAACTTTGCTTAAAGTGTTAATAAGCTTCTATTTAACTTTAAAAAGCAGATTTACAAGTATGCACATGAGTTCCTGATTCTGAGTACTTGGAGCACAAATGCTTCCCCCTATGTATCTTCTATCTTCTCTAAATTATAGAATTTGAAAGACTTCAAAGTATAAGAATTTGCTATGTCAGGTGAACAATGAATTTGATTAATCTTCCTTAAAATATTCACAGTCTATTGTTAATTTCAGTGTCCACTGAGCATTTATTGATTTAGATTTTGGTACAATGTATTATCAGAACTCTAATATTTGGATAAGTGAAGTAACCCAATAGGAGCTTAGGCACTCCTATTCTTGGTTTTCTTTTTTAAGGAAAAAATTCAAATGGTAGAAAAGATAGTTTACTGTAACATTAAAAGAATCTTTTAGATATCATACTTAAAGAGAGATTTACTTATGGATTTTATTTTTTAGTTTTGTTTTATGGAATTATTTTATGGGTTTTCATTGTAATCTTATTTTACCATCATTGTTTCTTCTTTGCTTTGGGGTTTTGATCATGGATGACTTAGATGACAGTAAGTGGAGAAGACACCTTGGCCTTGCACTAGAATTTTTAAATGTGGGTAAAACATTTCTGTTTAACAGTTTGATTTCAGATTATGTCATAACCCGTAATTTTTTTTTTAAAAAGAAAGAAAACCCCCATCAGTTCAGTACTGACAAATAGCCCTGTTGTTTTACGGCATTTCTGGCAGGTAACTGTTAGTTTCTGATTTTAGCTTAGGTGATGGCTATGGCTAATAAACAGTGAAAAGTCCTGGTATCTTGCTAACGTGAAATATTTGAGATGTCAGCATAGTTAAGGGTGTGCTTTTTCTGGTTCAAGGAACTAAAAGTTTAATTGGCATAAAATTTTAACACACTTCTTACTGAACTTCTTTCCACTTTGGGCCAATAGTTGTGTGTAAAGCAAAATTGATGTTTAAAAGCCACATTTTTCTCCATTAATTTATGTTATAATTTTAAGTTTCTATTGAAATTATTTTGGCCCAAAGAAGAGTAAAGAGCATCTTGCAAGCTAAGTACAGCAACATGTTGCTTTCAGAACCATCAAAGAAATGTGTAATTTATCCCCCAATCACCAAAATTATTTTAATCATTGTTGTGAAAATCATATTCAATTATATTACATATTTCCTTGTCTTCTCAGAAGAGGTTAAAAATAATTTAACCTCTTCTTGATGCCAAAGGCCAATATTGCCAGCATTAATTGTTACTCTAGAAGTTATTTGTCCCACAGTGGGAGCAGGAGCCTATTGATGAAGTTCTTTAAGTGTCTGTGTCTTCTTTTTGTAGATTTCCCTCTCTCCCTTTCTGTTGTTGTTAAGTTTGCCTTTGGTAATCCTTATCTGTCTTTTGCAATTATTTGCAATTAGGAGGGGGACCTCATAACCAAACTTGTTAAAGTAACACTTAAAAAAAATAACATTTAAAAAGTCTAAAATAAATTTGAATATGATAGGTTCTTAATGAGAAAGGCTTGAGGGACTCTTTGATGAAATTTCTCTTGTCCCTTCTCATCTTCAGAAGCCAATTCACATTTCAAGATGTAGCTCTTGTGTTCCCTTCTCTGTAAAGACTTCGAAGACCAGTCATTTTCTTCCTCAACAGTGCATCATTTTATTTTTATTTTTCAAATGTTTGTAGCAGCTTTATTTGTAATAGCCAAAAACTAGAAACAACCAAATTTGTCCTTCACTGGATGAATGGCTAAACAAACTATGGAATATCAACACTGTGGAATACTATTCAGCCATAAAAAGAATGAACTATTGATACACACTGCAACCTAGATGAATCTTCAGAGAATTACACTGAGTGAAAAAAGCCAATCCCAAAAGGTTACACGCTGCATGCATCATTTCAAAGACTTTAACATAGCTAGTACACCCACCTAGTACAGCCAGAGCTAAAGACCCAAGTAGTATGTCACTGATCTTAACCATTTCACTATTATTAAGAAAAATTATCCAAAACTTAGAACTGGGGTGTGGGGTGGGAACCTAAATGTCCTGACAAGTTATATTGGGTCATTGTTTAACAGGCAGGGCTTAATTCTCAAGGAGAATGTATCTTTGTTTAAACTTGTTGTTTACTATTTGATTAGAACTCAGACACTATAAAGTTACATATTAATTTGTAGATTTTTTTCTGGTAGACAAGCTAACCTCAAAGTTATGGTTTATTACCCTTAAGCTATTAGCCAGGTGTGTATCCAACTAGTAATT